CACAGATGGCGTGACAAGCCAGTTCGCACCGCACGGCGGTCAGACCAGAACTGAAGCATTGTTAGGGACATAAGGAAGGGGTCCTGCGCTTACCTGGCCTCCCCACTCCTCTTTCTCGCATTCCAGAACACTTTTATACGAACTTTCCGGACAGACCTCGTATATAAAGTGTGATAAGAGTTATGTACAATTCAATGCAGTGATCTAAACGTCGTTTATCAATACGTACGTGTGTCATTAATAAATTGAAAATGTTAACAAATAATTTGTACGTATATTCCGAAGACGAAGTTTGGGTGCCGTCGAATTTGAATTTCGGTGAATATTTCTTGAGAAGAGCGTATCAGTTTAAGGATAAACCCGCCTTTGTGAGTTTTTACAAGCTTTTATTAAACTTGCTCTTTTTAAGACTTTCCATTCAAAATTTGTCTTTATTTTATTACTTGCTGGAGACCAATTGTTTTGCAATTAAAACAACTTATTTTACAAGATTTGACGCATCGTTAATTTTAAAGTTCGCATCTGTATTGCAAATAGAAAAAATTTACGTCCAATACACTGCTTATCACTACTTATAGAAGTTTCATTTCGTACTCTGTCATTACTTTAATGCAGTGTTTTTTAATCTTTTTTATGACGCGACCCCCTTAGTAGGTATGTAAAAATATCTTGCGACCCCCTACCCTCCACAGTTTCGAATGTGTATGAATTTTATGATAGTAGAATTATGAAATCCACCTAGTTGTAAATACGTCGTATATTCACAGTTAGGTATCGATAAAATAAAATAAATAATACGTAATAAAGTATCTAAAACATATACATAATAAAATTGATTGATTGATGTATTTACGAAATTTTTCACTGATTCGCGACATTCCGCGACCTTCTTGTAGAGACTCGGGGACCCCTAAGAGGTCGCGACCCACACTTTGAAAAACACTGCTTTAATGTAATAACTACCGGTTTAATTTAAGTGAAATTAAATCGAAAAATCTCGACTAGATTCGGAATCCATTCATAATCCTTAATCATGAGCGACTGTGACTGAATGTGCGCTATTACTTATTTTTTACTCGACTTTTTTATGCAACTAAGAATGGCTGTTTGCCATTCTAAGTTGACGCTGACGTCCAACCTGATGGAAAGTGGTAACCGTCACCTATACACATGAGCAACACCATGGACATAACAGAGTATACTGTTTCGCCCATGATACCCCCATGTGTTGCCATTCCTGAGGACTCAGGTGTTATTCCTCTGTACCCTGTAAATTCACTGCCATATCCCATTCTTCAAACAGAAACACAGCCATGCAAACAACTGCTTTACGGTAGAAACACGAATGGAACAGAGGTGCCCAAACAAACGACTTTGGTACAAAGTCTCCCTCTGGTTCGTTGATAAGATCGGGATATATTCACTGAGTGGGATAAAAGTAGCCTATGTTTTCATTACTAAATTTTATAATAATTCGTTAACCCGTTAAGCTGTCAAGAGGTAACAAACTAAATAAACAAACACATTTTCATATTTGTGATTTTAGTAAGCATTATTCGTTTAACCAATCGTGAAATTTAGTATTGTACTTACTATATGCAACGGAGAAGGACATAAGACTAGTTTTATTTTTGCCAGTGAACGGTAAAAGTCACGGGTAAAAGTTAGTATTGAAATATTTTAAATCCAATGTATCTATGAACCATCTGTCAGTATTTTATAAAAGCTCCTAGCTATTTTCGTAGAGCAAAATTTACGTTTTAAATTTCTATAGTTTTTGTACTAGCCTATGTGCGTTTTGACTAGTTTTTTTGAATAATTTAATTAGAAGTGAAAAAGATGCACTTCCTCTTAATGTGTTTATTTGAATCGTGTTTTACAAAATTTTATAGAACCTCAATTGGCTGATCTAGGTTATTCGAAGACGCCCAGATCGATTCAGAAAATTCTTTCAAAGATTACTTGTCTCCAGGTTGTCCCGGGGTCATCAGATCAGGCTCTGATGTATCCGGGATCCTCAGGGTAATTGAGGAGATTATAGGCATGTTTTGTTTATGTGTTTGAGATTTTTTCTAGTTAAAATATTTAGTTTTTATTCCGGCGTCTGGAAGATGTCATTCACCTCATGATGCCGAGCTGATGGCGGATGAATCGTTAATATGAAGAAAGCAAGAAAAGTAGTGGGCCCTCTGAAATTTTTTATAATTTTGTAGTTTTGACCGTACTGTCACTTTTTGATTGTCAATTTTCTTCACTAATTCAACACTTGGTTCGTTCGTTCGTTCGTTAAGATTTTTAGTTATGATTATAATAAAATCAATACAAGCTAACATTTTAGATTTACCTTTTCTTTAATCAAGTTTGTAAAATTAGATATTTATTCTATCTGATGTGACTGTTTCAAATATTTTAGAGACGACAGGTTATAGGAGTTTATGTGTCTAGAATGTGTGTAGTATTGATATCTTGTCTATCACCGTTTTTATATAGCAGCGAACTTAACAATAAACAACATTATTATGATGATGCGGAAAAATACCTTAAGATAATGACGGATAACCGATTCGCACATATTTTTAATATACGAGCGCATATACACCGTCCTCGTTATCGTGAAGAATTAGAATTGGTCAATGATATAATAGAGAAGTAGTTGTTGAAATTTATTCTATTGATTTATATTAACAGTTTTATATTTTAAGCTGAAGAAACTCTACGGTCAATGCCTACAGGCCGGCATGGAATAGGTGGACGAATTGGCGTGTGTTTCATACAATTAATCATAAACATCCGAATGCTGATCAAGTGGCTCGTTACTTGGCTCATCTGTATTGTGATATGGGACTTGCTTATAGAACTATTTTAGTTCATAAATCAGTCAATCTCGACATTTACTCACCTTAATTCCAATGTAAATTTATCATCAAATTTTTTTATTAAACATGTTTTGAAGGCTATATCTGTTGACCGCGCAAAACCTTTGAAGCCACCCATTTGGAGTCCCAAGCTAACTATTACAATATATGAGTATGTATGATCTTAGTGAAACAAATCTTTTTCAAGTTCTGAGGCATATGCTACATTATTACTATGGGCCTCAGGTTGTCGAGTTCATGATCTCACATTGCTAAGTATCGACGAACAAAGTTTAATAGATAACGATACTTCCTAATCTAATGATCTTCCTAATCATACTATGGCCGGCATTCGGATCCAAGACAGATAAAATTAACCATAGACAGTCTGGGTAGAGGTTGCGACAACATCCTATAGAAAGAATACCAGAGGGAGAATTATACTAGAGGGTGACTTTGGACAAAAGTCGATTGTTTGGGTACCTCTGTCCTATTCATGTTTCAACCGTGAAGCAGTTGTGTTTGCATGGCTGTGTTTCGGTTTGAAGGGTGGGATATGGCGTGAATTTACTGGGTACAGAGGAATAACACCTGAGTCCTCAGGAATGGCAACCCATGGGGAGGTATCATGGGTGAAACAGTATACTCTGTTATGTTCATGGTACTGCTCATGTCTATAGGCGACGGTTACCACTTTCCATCAGGTGGGCCGTCAGTTTGTTTGCCATTCTAAGTTGTATAAAAAAAAAAAGAGATTAAATGTTGTTTTCTGATTAAGGCAATTATTGCATTTGTCATCAAATCGTCGACAAAACATAAATAACTTGTTTATAACAGCCAGAGGTGCAGTAAAACCAGCGCCTAGAACAATTATTGGAGGTTGGGTAAAATCACTTTCAAAAGAGGCTGGTATCGAAGTAACTCCAGTTCAATTCGGTCAGAGCGGTAGCTTCACTAAATTTTGTCGAAAATTTTCTATAGATCAAATTCATCCGACTGGTAATTGGAAAAGCATTCATACTTTTCAAAATTATTACCAAAGAAAAGTGAATCCAGTTTCTTTATTAAATTATTTTGATCCTGAAAATCAATAGTTTAGTAATTGATAATAATAATATTCTATAGATGACAATTATATTCGTCAGTAAATTATTTATGAATATGACAAAAGTTTATTCTTTACCTCTGTTATACTTACATATTATAGCGTCTTTAGTTTACCAGCACTAGGTGATAACAAACACACATGTTGATACAAAACAAATAATAGAGTTTTACCATCAAATAAAACTTACCTATTATTTTTTCATCAATATCCGGAATCCAGGTAGGGGTTTTTTTAATGGCTGACCTACGCTATCGGTATACGCTGGCAGGGTACCAGTGAGGGATGATAGGTGAGGATGAAGCAGGTCAGTTAGCACACCGTGACGAATCTAACAATAAATCAATCTTGATGGTTTCCAGGGGGAACCATGAGGAGGTCGACCTGACAGGGTATATTGCTGGCAATGGGGCTACTAGTCCTCATTACTAACAATTCCTTCTCTCCCCTCCAGGTAAGGACTTTTTTATGGGTGAAGATGAAATGTTAACCCTGCCTGCGCTATCGGTATACGCAGGCATGGTGCCACTGAAGGATGACAAGTGAGAATGAAGGCAAGCCAGTTGGCCCATAGTGATCAATTAACTGGAAACCATAGTGGTTCATTCTTGATTAATTAATTAATCAAGAATTAACCACTATGGTTTCCAGGGGGAACCGCGTGGAGGTCGACCTGATAGGGTACATTGCTAGCAATGGGGTTATTAGATCTCATTGTTAACAATCCCTTTTCTCCCTACTCAGGTAAGGGCTACCTGGTGCATCATGAGTTTATAATGACAAACTCTCACCTGGCGCACACGCACCTGTGAGGTGTCGAACCGGAAGAGTGAAGATAAAAAATATCGGAGAAGAGAGGGAAAAAGGCTGACTAACGGTTACTAAGAAAGACTGGTGTTTGACTCAAAATGGATTCCGGATATTGATGAAAAAATAATAGGTAAGTTTTATTTGATGGTAAAACTCTATGATCAGTATAGGTTCCTGGAGATAAGAAGGAAAACAGTTGTACTTTGGGAACATCATAAATAATAGTCAGATTAGATATTACAAATATATTTATTAAAAAAAGAATTGAATTATAAAATAAGTAAGATACCGGTAGATTACAAATAAATCATTATTACATTGTCTTCTTTTATTATATGCCGTCACTCCAGAAATAAATTTTGACTAGTTCGATGAACAAAATAATAATTACAAAATTATAATCCATTATATTCCGCGTTATCTAATTACATTATGTATTTCAAGATAACTAGCACCTTTCTAATGTCACAGAATGGAGTGACGGCGATAAATTGTAAATAGATAGAGTACACTTCATTAACATGTACGTAGGTATACAAAAATTCTAAATACGAAATGTTATCAAAGAACGTATAGAAACACTGATGGCTATGATATTTACAGGATAAAGCCTAGTTTATACTCCAGTGTGCTGATTTAGTATTTTGTTATTTCATTGTACACTTCATGTTATAAATTGTATGTTACTGCCAGTTACTTCCCCATTGTAAATACTTGAGTCCTAATAAAGTTATTATCAACTATGTTTTTTTATTTAATTTAGGTATTAAACGTGGAGATGACTGTAAAGTGGGTCAGCGGCTATTAATTATTATTGTCAATTTTATATGACTGATTATTGCCATGGATCGTTTACTAAATCTAATTGAAGACAAGATACTGTCAAACGAATTTATGATATTGAAAATAAGTGATGAGAATTTTAATTGAGGACGTAATTTGGCAGTACGATGTACAAAACCTAAACTGAATAGAAATACCCAATAGTCGATAGAAATCGTCCCTTAATTTGTTTTACTCATCAGGGAAAAAGATCAGTAACAAATTTTAATTAGGTACATTGTACTAAGACAATGTTAATTCATTACTATACTTGTAGAAGTAGGCACGGTTTGAATCATGAAATGAGATGCGAGAATACATAGTTAAAAAACAAGAGCAATTATGCTATTTGTAAAAAGAGATTTGCTGTCTTAACGGTAGGTATGAAAAGTTAATTATTTTATGGCCGCTAAATATCACTTTGATGGGCATTATTTTATTATGGAACAAACTAAATTACTTTGTGATCTTTGAACTTTACAGATTCAAAGTTTAATTTCGCTATACAGGAAGCGTGTCTAGATAATTCTGGGAAGCTGTCGATTTGGGCAGGAATATTATTGCTAAGCTCTTCGACCTGCATTTCCATAATGTGCAAGTAGATCAACAACATCTAGATAGAATATCTCAACAGAAATTTCGACTGTAACGGATGAGTTTAAAAAATAGTCCGTTTTTTGGAATTGGTGAAATTTATCACATAAATTGTCATTTCATTTATTTATATTATTAATAAATGCTATACTTTTAAACTTTCATATAGCAAGATTTATCTCTATCTAGATGTATGTAATCTACGAAAGCAATTGAATTTCTCAATATGGAGCATGTTTAATGAAGTACAAGAATATTAACATATAATGTCTATGAGGTTCTATCAATATCCATATGAGTCTATGATACATTTATTACGTAACTCCTAATTTTCACACTATAACTAGGCTAATATTTTTGTATAAATTCTAACTAGTCCATGCTACACCATAATCGAGTACTCTACAATTTTATTGTACATGAAAAACTAGCTACAGGGATATATTTTATCTATGACATAATTTAAGTAAAACAATATTTACAAAAATAGCCACTTTTCATTCTGTTTTTGGATTTGTCTATGTCTAATTTTCACTATCGCAACGTGAAATGAAACCGTTACATCTGTTATGTATACAACAAGGAACTTAATGACATTAAATAATGAGCGACGAAAACATACTACCCACGAAATTAGCACGTTAAAAAAATGTTTATTTAATATTTATTTAACTGGTACAAATGCTAAGTCATTATAAAACTTACAGAATATAGGTTAATGTTAGATATTTTCGCAGCGAAGGCAAGATGTGATCATGTCTGTATAGAAAATTCGTGCTAAGCTATTATAGCATATGTATGACTGAAAGTCTTTGAAGGAAACCTTGATTGCTATTTCATTTTTCTTGCGTATTATTTCTGAGAGGCGCTACCAAAGAGAATGGATTAACTTGCAAGGATATCGGAATATTTTTTGGAAGTGTCTCTAATTAGGTATAATGACTCTAAGATAACTTAAAACAAATAGGATTATCAACTTGATAGATTGCCAATGATAGACTTCTTTGGAATTTCTATTACTTCAAAAGTGTATGTATTCGAGTAGAAATTATTGCAAATGTAACAAACCATATTAGGAATCGGTGAGCCCTTGGCGCTTTTCTTCTTCCAACATGGCGTCGAGTTCGTCCGTAAGGTTGGCAAGCATGTTTCCAATGTCGTTCAGGACATCCGCCGGCTCGGTACTTTTCCCTTCGTCCTTGTGTTCAGGGAGGGAGTGAGGGGTCGTAGGTTTGATGTCTGGTGTATTTCTTGGTGGCAGATTGGAAAGTCCTATCCCTGTGCGGCCATAGTCGACCGTATGAGGCCTTCCTGCTATTTGACCTCGGTTCTGCTTTATCGTTCCCGCATTTTCGTTGGCAAATGGGATGCTATCTGATTCAGTGCTGGAACTTGACTGTAAATAATTAAAAAATATTGTTAACTAATTGTTTTGTAAAGACTTAAAAAGTAAAAGGCAATAAATAGTAAAGTATGATTCGCCAGAATTTTAGGCTTAAATAAACTACAAATTATTAAAACTGTTATATTATTATTTTTGCCGCAGTTTGTTAATCCTATCGACTATATCAACTACTCTAATATTTAATTCAATTATCTTTCTGAATAAAATCTCACAGAAACTTCGAGAATATCCGTCTCTATGACTCTTACAGTTCATGGACTACTTTCAGTAACAGTGTTCACATCTCTGCAGCGAATATTGAATAGGCATACTTATTGAAAATTTGTGTCTCTAGTTTTGCAGAATGGGCAATGCAGAGTGTTTTCAATTTGTCTATTTTAATGAGAATGTATACGAAGGAACGACCTGACCAAGAGACAGCTGATGTTCAATAGTAATATAGATAAAAAATCATTTCATTCGTTGAATGTTTTAATTGCTTACTAACTTAATACATAAAATATTTCTGTGATATTTTTAACATAAGTTGGTTTTCCTTTTCATTAAATTCTATTACACTATTTTAATTCCTTCAAGATTAAATTAGTTCAGGATGGTGACACCCCTCGTACTGCAGGTGTCCATAGACTATAGAAATATTTACAATCAGACTGGCTGTGTGCTTGTTTGCCACCTTTGTGGTATAAAAAAAAGATTAACCTTAAAACTAGCGTCGGATCCAGTCCTTAGCTTGTCTTCTTCGTAACGGCGAGGGGGCGAGGCGGGTGCAGGCGGCGGCGGCAGCAGCCCCGTGCTGTCCAGAGACACGCTCAGCGAGTCCGAGCTCGGGTACGCGGGCAGGCTCAGGGGAAGGCTCTTCTCCGGGTGGATTTCCACTGTCGTCTGTCCGAACCTAGAATAGTGACAACTCCAGTAATGCAATTGTTACTTTTAACATGCCATCTTTATCATATACCTCTGGGTCACTGTCACTGGTTTCTGGATCTTCTATGCCAATATATTCATTGTAAACGATTATGAACTCCTTAAGAACGTGGCCTCACGACGTTTTTCTGTATGTTATGAAGTAAGAATTAAGTGACAATCACTTTTGACTGATTACAGAAATCGAGAAGGGATAGGTTTTAACATGGATCTTTTGAAAAAATACAGACAAGCGATCTCTGATCGTTCTTACGAGTCGCTCGGTGTATCCCGTTAATGATAAAAGTCATGTTAGTGCATCTTTCAAATATAATTTGTTCCCTAATATCGTTATAATTATCTAATTGTCAATTCTTACCTGAATGGTGCATACTGTGAACTCTGCCGCTTTGGGGGCTCAGGCGGGGGTTTCCTGGCCACATGCGGACTCGCCCCGTATGCGACGCGCTGCAGTCTCGCCGAGTACGCGATCTCGTCGTAGGCATAGTCCGGAGACTTGTCCCTGTACGCGGGCGTCGCTTGTATCTTGGCGACGGGCCGCGGCCGCACCAGTCCCCTGGGACGGGGCAGCGTCCCGCCTCCCTCGTACGAGCTGTCGTTCGTCGGCGTTATGTCGCCATCATCGTATGACCGCCGCCATTGTCCCCCGCCATAATAAAATCCCGCGTCAGGAGAGAAGGTCGTGTGCGATGTCCTTTCAGAGGGGTCTTCTAGACTCTCCAGCGACTTGCCGCGGGGATGACGGATCTGTCAAGTATTATTATTTTCAAGTGAAATAAAACTGTATTTCAGCTATTCTATTGTAAGTTTTTTTTTATATAGAAATAATCAAAATAATTATGACATACATTTACAGACAAGTACAGCTCTGTTCAGTTTTGTTATTTTACGTATATGTACTGTTGTTATTAATTATCATGCTACGAAATAATTGTAAATAGAATAAACTTTAAAAATTTTAGCAATTAGTAAATTATTGTTTTTTATTGTTATTCAGTTACTTATATACATGCGTTTGTATTAGATTATATTATCTAAAAGACTACCATGCAGACATATTTGGTTAATTTTTAAAAATACCTATACAAAACAATAAAAATAAAATAAAATCAATAGTAAAAATCACACGCACGCATGGTAACACTGCGTTCTCTACGACAACACTGAGTGCACGTTAAAGCCGGGTGCTTGGGTGCGTCGAGAACAAACTGACATGTGCCAAAGGAGTTTGTCTCATACCTGTATAGGGACCAAATCAGTGCCACATAGGGGCGTTGGTAGAGCGTCAAAGGTTAGATCGGGGGGTTTATGGTAACTCCTCGCTGATCCCCAAGGCTGGTAATGTAGCTGCCTCGGATATAAATCCTTTAGCCGATTATGTCCAAGGTGCGGTTTGTGTTTGGAAAAGAAAAGAAAACAAAACATTCACATGCTGCTTCGGGCTGGTGGAATGAGTGGATGCAGCGGAACGGAATGACGTGTGGTGGCTGCCGGGTGAGTACAATATGCGATTGCGTAGGTATGTCATAGACTTTTTTTCATAGTTAATATTGGCCATATAAAATTATAAATTAAAAAATTTGCGTTATTAACGGTTATTTAATAAATGAGTTTAAACCTAATAAAGTAGGTGCCATTTTCTTTCATTAATGTACTTACGACTAATAATAATCGCAGAATTGTTTCACATCCGAGCAGCGACGACTATGGCGATGGACAAAGACTTCTAAAAGTCTAAGCGAAATGATAACAATGATGTTCCGGAACACATCGGGAAAATATCAAATAATTTTGACAATACAAAATTTTTGGCGCCAATTTAGTTCATATTACTTTCCCAAGTTTCCATATTTGTTGCCACAGCAAAAAATAATCCAGCTGTCGTTTGTGCTATGCTTCTTGGAAAGAGATTACAATAAAAGCCTCTTGGCCCAAAGTAAATAAACATTTTAATTATTCAGTTAAATAGAAAATATAATAAAGCTTCATAAATCATAAAAACGCTTTTTGTTAAGACAAGCGTAGTTAGTAAATATTGTAAAGAAAAAATGTAACTATAATATTCTGATTTTTAAATTTATAAAGTCTAGCGATAAAATAAAAAAATACGGGTCATATTTTTTAAATGTAAGTGATGATGAATGATAATGTGATGAAAGTAATGTATAAGTATAAAAATAATATAAGTAATAAAAAAATAAATTCATTTGAAGTGATGCTTTGAAAATAATTAATTCTGATTAACAGGAATAGAGAATCTAATTTGCTCTCTAATTTTATAATGTCTATAGACCTAACATTATGGTAGCGGACAATCAAGAAAAAAAATTAAGGATATATTAATGCCCTAATTTAAAGAAAGTATTTATTATTAAAATATTATAAAATATAAGTCAAAGTTAAGAGTGCAATGCTGAATAAGTAAACAGGGTTATGTAAGTTGTAAGTTCCGACGTCCGCTCACATAAAAAAGATCTAATATAGAAACTAGTTCTAAAACATCACTACAAAGACATTAAAAAATTTTGGCATACTTGTTTATGGTACTGACCTGGCCAGGTTGTAGCCTTGTAAAGTCAAGGGAACCCTGATTGCTGATGCTCCTTTTGCCTGCCCTGATATCTTTTACTCTTTTTATAGCCAGTAATATTTTCTTTTGGTGACCTAGACGTACTATGCCCATGTCTTCTAAATCCTGTGGACATTATTATATATATATTTAAATAAATACTATTAATACTTTATATCAGCAAATAAGTCATATCAAATAAGTCACATTCTTTTAGATGAAGCCATAAAAAGTTGGGCTGTTTTTGTCGGAGCATTTGTTTCCTATAAACTTCCTGACATTTTATATAAATTTTCTAAGGATTTAGCCTGTTTGTCATTTCACGTAGCATTAGAAACCCACGAGAAATTTAATTAGAGCTTAAGAGAGTGTATCAGAATATGTAATACGGGTGACGGTTACCTCCCAGGCGAGCTGTGTGACGTCATGCACGGTCCGGTAGCCCTGCGCGACCAGCGCCGGCCCGTACTCCTCCAGCCGAAGAAGCCGAAGCCATTCCTCTAAGGAACCCTGCAGTACATAATTAGTAATTATACGTTATGAGAAACAATTAGACGTATCACACGACTGATGCAACGTTATACAAAGTCTCTGCCTTACTTATTCTCTATTTTAACCGTTAAGTAGTTGGATATGGCACTGAAGTAACAGCGTCGAAGGCATAATATGTTAATCCTCAGGAATGGCAACGTATGAGTAATATGTTTATTCCGTAACATTTATTTTTGGGCTATTGCCACTGTTTCCTATTAGATACTTTGTCAGATCTTATAACAAAAATTCTATATTCATTCTTAGGTTCAATAGTTAAGCCATCAAAATGTTGCAAACAGACATATTTTAAACGTTACATATAATAGGTAAGGATACTAACAGGTATATAATCAGGTAAATTATCAGGAACGTTCAAATTAGCGAGCTCTGCCTTTAACCGCTTGCGGTGGTTGGGTTTCTTGATGCCGACCGCCGTCAGATCTTCTGGCGTCATTCTCGTGACAGTGGGCAAGTCATATCCCGCATCTATGAACAGCCTTGCATACTCTTCCATTTGGAGGTCAGCTAGCCACGCGTGGATTATATCTGGGTCCTGGAAAAAGTAGACGGGTTTTTGTGTGTATTTGATACTAAATGAATATAAATAAAGATGAATACAATTGGTAAGCGTATAACTTGAGAAGATAAGAGCTTGGATCGATTTAGTTTAATTCTACTGCAATTAGTAGAATCTGTTTATATGTTATTGCCATTTTAATATTATACAATGGTGTTATAAGCAGATAACAAATTACATTTTTTTTTATACCACGGAGGTGTCAAACAAGCATACGGCCCACCTGATGGTAAATGGTTACCGTAGCCTATGAACACCTGCAATACCAGAGGTATTACGCGTGCGTTTCCTCTCTTTACCCACCTTTTGAAGAACCCCATGCTGTAGTCTCTTGGGAAAACTTCGGAAGGGAGCTCATTCCACAACACATTACATTATATGTTTGTATGAAATAGATATACATGACTAAAATATACATGTTATATTTGTTTTGCATTATTAGATTAAGACTACTACTTGGATAAAAAGTCAATTGCTGTTCCATTTGTATTTAAATTAAATATAGCAGCTTGCATAGCTGTTTCAGATTGAAGAGTGAGATATGACAGTGAAATTAAATCTTAGTTTTAGATGATGGTGCCATCTCACTATGTGCGTGTAAGTGAGGTTATATCAATATGTATTTATGTATTTATTTCACATTGCATTCCATGGTTACTAGATAATAAAACAATTGCAATTATGGTTGGGCACAGCAAGTAGGAGAGAGGAGTTACAACCTTTATTTATACTTTTGCACACAAAAATATGTCTACGGGGTGGACTTCACGCCTGATGGCATTCTCTACTAGTCAAAAGTTACACTAAACAGAGTGAGAGAGTAAATAATGGTGCATTAATTTAACAAAACACCTAATTTTACTTTAAAAACAGTTTTTGAGTTTGTTACAATATTATCCAATTATTGATATTGTTTCACGATAGTTACGTATTTTCTGTGTTAATATTATTCATTATTTAAGTATTGATGTGTATCTATTTATATTGTAATTAGTATTATAGTTATATAGTATATTCTATAGTTTGAAATTATTCATATTGTAAAAGTAATTAATAAAAAGTTTAATAATAAAATTTCAATTTAACTCAACGTCAATTTTAGCTATAACTTAAATTATTATTAATATATAATTAATTATTTGTTTATACATAACAATATAATTCTGTTTGTCATTCAAATATTTGTCAGTAGCATAGTAATATTTAGTAATTAAAACTTTTTAGAATTTCTTACAAAAATATTGTCATTTTGTTAATTTTCTAGTGATTCTGGCAATTTGTCATATATTTTTATTGATGACACAATATATTCAGTTATATCCATGATGCTACTTTTACTTAATAATTTTTCAAACGTAGGTATTACACCTACGTTTGGGTATACATACCGCGTAAGTAAATGGCACGGCATAGGACAGTTTTCTCAGTAAACACAATGCTCATCATAGTTACTCACGGGAAGCCCTTGTGTGATCATGGCCCGCACGCGGTCTGCTGCGTCTCCGCATGGACAAGCAGCGTGGTGCAAATGCGGCCCGCGGCCTGACGCACGCCCGCTGTCCAGTGACGCAGATGAGTGCCGCGAGCCTGATCCTGCTGAGCCTGATGACGAGCCGGGGCTGTCGCGGCCGGGACTCTGGAAATGTTATTAAAAAAATCAAATTTAAATAAATTGCTGGCAATAATGGATATTCATGAATTAATATGTAACTGACAATTACAATATCTTATGGCTTTACAGAGTGAAATTAGTAGTATCGTTTTAGAATAGTTTAAATTATTAACAGTTTGAATTATTTAAATTCGCACCGTTTAAAAATGGTTTTAACGATTGATTCGCTACGATAGTGTTGCAGAATAACATTCTAGACTCGATTCCATTTTATGTTAACACAATTATTCAGTAACTGATTGAGTCAAATACTATCAAACATAATTAAAAAAAAAAAAAAAACCAAATAAGTGGTCGGAGGCGTAACACCATAGTCACCAGGGATGGCAACTCATAAGGGGTATTATGGGCGTCACAGAGTATTCTCTGATATTGTTTATTCATTATCTATAGGTGTCGGTTATCACTTTCCATTAGGTAGGCTGTTAGCTTTACATTCTAAGTTGCATAAAAACATTCATAATGATCTAAATCTAAACATGAAACCTTTCCTTGACTAACCTTAAAGTTTTCCAAGAGACTACAGCATGGGGTTCTTTAAAAAAGGCATTAGGAGGTGTCTTCAGGGTTGGCAAAGCGACAGTAATGCCTCTGGTATTGCAGGCGTTTATAGGCTATGATAATAGCTTACCATCAGATGGGGCGTATGCCTGTTACGTTATACGTGTATACGTTTGCCACCTCAGTGGTATAAAAAAAAATAGAATAAGAATATAGGTTTTTAAAATATACCTGCGTCATATCGATCCCCTGGTCATCACTGAGCGCCAACTGGTGGTGGTAGTACACGGCAGCTTTGTGCGTAAGCGGCTGTGATGGTGGGGGGAAGGTGAAGGTGCCGCCGCCTGCTGGACTCTTGCCCAGGCTCCCGCTGGCACCACTGACACCAGACACCCCAGATACCGTACTGCCATAGTCTGAATGGTCATCTGGAAGTGGACGAATTGTATTTTAGTAGATTTACTAAAGAGAGATGGTCGTCGTTGCATGAAGGGCATCACAGCGATGTTCTATGATGCTCCATTTGCTGTTCATGTAAGCGACGGCTATCACTTTGCATCAGATAGCAGTCATGTACTTCAATATAAGTATTATAAAAGAATAACATAATGTAACTGTATAAACTTCTCCGTGTGGGTACTTCTGTTTGTTTGTCTATTCCAATACAATGATAAGCTTCTTCACCCTAGGGAATGAGGTAATCCATTAGAAGTTAACTAATTTTTAATTAACTTTCAGATCTGATAGGCGAGTGAGGACAGTGAACTTAGTGATTACTTTTTTTACGACATTAACTGATTAATTCATCAGTTTGTCTAATGATTGATTGTAAATCGGATATTGACATATTCTATCAGAAATTTTCATCGATTGATAACCTAATATTTTATAAGTACAATTTGGTAGTTTTATTTTTGATCCTTATTTTGTATGTAGTTTTAATCATTAATTCTTTTTTGTATTAAAAATCAACCTATTCTGTTTCATCTCTGTGAATGTTGAGTACAACTATAATTGGACTGCAAACTTATAATGCTATTGTTGTATTCTATTGTTAAAAATTTTGTTTGTAATAAATTGATGTACCACAGAAATAAATAAATAGAAATACATACCTCGTGTATGCGACGGTGTGTCTGGGGGCTGCGGGTAGGGCTGCTCCTCGCAAGAGGCGTAACCTTGCGAGCCGAAGCTTGAGCCGGAATGCCTGTGCTGCGGTGTGCCAAACGCATCGCCAGGGACCGCTGGAGGCGGCACGCGCTTGGCAGTAGCCGTCTTGCCGGCCCCACTGCCACCGCGAGACATCCCGCCCACTGAAAGGAAAACAATAAATAGCATTAGTTAATTAATAATAAGTATTACACACCCCATATTCCCGTATTCCAATGTGATCCCGGCATAGAATAGGCCACCAATTATTTTCCCATATCATAAGAGACGACTGAAGGAGGACGAGGGATGGGCATCAGCGTCCTTCCTAAAACTCACCTTAGATGGAGGCTTATGTTAAGTTGCCACGCTTGGTATGTTGGCAACTGCAGTTTGGCTTTTGATGATGTTTTAAGAAGGACGCTGTTGCGTATCCCTCCAGAGTAAGCTCCCTTAATCGCAGACCAATTCTAAGCTGTGACCTACACGTCTATATATTTATAAGCAATATACTCGTGAATTTGTAAAATTGGCCCTTAGACAGTTAATCATATTTGCACAATTCTAGGAAATATCTGCTCATTATAGTGAAATGACAACAGTAAACAATTTGTTATCATATAATTCTATGTTACTACCTAGTAGATGAGCACTATAATGCTGGGTTATATGAAGCAACTTAATAATTAATCACAGCCGGCATGTATTGTCGAAAAAATTGCTCATGTAAACGCCTCTTTATTAGAACAACGCTACCAGCGATAGAATCAATTGATTATTAGCAGAAATTATACGTATTATCGGGGAAAACAATGGAACTATTAGAACTATTATTGATTACACATATACGCGTTCATCCGTCCTTCCTTTCTGCACCACTGACCCAGTATTATTCCATTAACATCCATATAAAGGGCATTAACGTACATATTAAGGGCGTTAAAAACATTATTATAGTACATGCATTCTCACTTAAACAATGAATCTTATTGAAAATCGAAGGAAATTTAACTTTGAACTAGATTCCGAATGTGAAAGGAAAAACCTCGAAGTTCTATCGACGTTACAGTTCCAAAGTGCTATTTGAGAGAGTACGACAGTAATTAACTGAAACTTTTCAAATAGTAACTTTCTTTGTTTAAGTGTCGACTCGTCTTTTAAATTACTCGATCTGTCTACAAATAACATGGATAATCAACTTGGCTAGAAGACTTTAAGATTGACTCAGGTACTTATTTGTTTTATAATTGGAATGACAAACAGTTCTACCAGTAAATTATATTTTTCTCAAGAAAATATGGATTGAAAAATAGTACAAAATGTTGAGTGGTCCTAACTATGAGTATTAACCTTCAGGGGAAAAGGGATTGTTAGTAATGCTAGCGTTATACTTTATCAGGTCGACCTCCACGCGGTTTCCCCTAAAAACCATCGTGCTTAATTCTAGTGAAATTCGTTACGATGAGCTAACTGACTCGCTTTCATCTTTACCTATCATTCCTCACTAGAGCCCCGCCAGCGTATATCGATAGCGCAGGCGTGAGTTACGATTCCATTATCATCCATAAAAAAACTACTAATATCCTAATTACTATTAACTTGACAGCTAAACATGCATGGCTCTTTTTATTATTTTTAGATGCAGTTTTCTATGCGAAATAGGTTTAGTTCAATTTCAAAGGTATAATACTATGTTTTTCGTATAATGAGTGCTCTGGTTATCTTATCATTTATAACGAAACACAATAATGCATGCGTAACTGCATGACAAACTAGTACATACCCTAAAATAAACAAATAAAATACTAAGAACAAGGAATTACATAGAAGGAGTGATAAAAATGTCAATTCATGGTAGACTAGTTTATACAAATTGTTTTACGGCCGTATAACCCTACCAAATTGAGATACAACCTGCTTGCATACTTTCTACAAAAAGTGTGTCGAATACATAATCTAGTAATGTATAATGTAGTAAATACCAGAGGGAGACTTTGTGCAAAAGCCGATTGCTTGGGTACCTCTGTCCCATTCGTGTTTCAACCGTGAAGCAGTTGTGTTTGCATGGCTGTGTTTCGGTTTGAAGGGTGGGATATGGCGTGAATTTACTGGGTATAGAAGAATAACATTTGAGTCCTCAGGAATGACACCGCATGGGGGGTATCATGGGCGAAACAGTACACTCTGTTATGTTCATGGTACTGCTCATGTCTATAGGCGACGGTTACCAGTTTCCATCAGGTGGGCCGTCAGCTTGTTTGCCATTCTAAGTTGTATAAAAAAAATGTAAAATTTATCATTAACAAATAATTGACATATCAAACATTTTCTGTACACTAACCTGCTATGAATTGAGAAAAATACCAAACGATGATGTCCTCTTTTTACTAATTATATTTGCATAAGAAAAAAGGATCTAACCATATGATTTACAGTTTTTATTTTATCATTCTTTCTATGTAATTCCTTGTTCTTAGATAAAATACTAATTTAGCGGATCTTAAAAAAATTTTGTATCATTAATTAGCTAATTTTATAAATGTATCTTATGGGACCATAAAAACAGAGCAATCAATCTTTCAAAATTACATTAAACGCTGTTATCAAGCTTAAACAAGCCACAATCTCGCGATGAGTAAGTAAGTTTCCGTCGGTCGTTATTCTCTATAAGTCGATAATACGGGGGTGGTAGCAAATCCAGTAATAAAGCAAATACTTCATCAATCATGTCGGATTGATCGGCCGATCGCCGCGGTCGCACGCCGATCTAATCCGACAACAAATTGCTTGCGCCGAATCGATAGAGCCAACTAATGGACGAAAAAAAAATCGATATTAATTTAATCGTGCTACAAACCTTCAACAGAGAAATAAACTTGTCCGATTTGTGTGGAAATTGAGATGTTTTAAAAATAAACAATTCGCTCGTTTTCGACCGATCTCGTTCGCGCACTGTAAACAAGGGAAACATTTTAAAGATGCTTTTTACTGTGAACCCGTTGAGAAATCACAATGAACCCTTTGTTTTTGTAATAAAAACACGATTTATATTCTGTAAAACAGAACGCTCCGTGCTCTTACTCGGGAACGTTCGACTGTAATGTTTATTAGTGCAAATATTTTCTTATGTCCGAATGTATGCTTACTTTATTGATAAAAATTTATGACGACGATTACATGCACGCAATCATCCGAATATTAAAGACGCAATTGAGAAACAATAATAATAAAACATTGAAATACGCCATACTTTACAATTTAGTATGCAAAGTCTGGTTTCAAAGGTAAATAAATGTGAATGGTAGATAGTGTGAAATATAGTGAGATCCGTTTAGAAATGTATTTTTCAAATGGTATTTGTAAGTAAAAATTTAAATAAATTAATAAAATATTTGTTTTCTTCCAAATTAAATTGTCCTGCTCAAAGATTGCTTAAATTCACGCCTATCTCTTTGACGTAAATAATTAATAAACAAACAAATATAGACTGATTATGGATATATTATTTGTTTATCAAGTCAGAATGCAGTATAGATGAATTATAAAAATAAAGGGCGTTAGCACTTAATTCTTCTATTTACACCGTAGACGATTTGACGTGAACATAACATAGATATAGCCTGTAGTATTAAAAACATCAATTTTATGTATCAAGACTGTGAATTCCTCGTACTTATTATGCTGCTACGTCTCAAGTTTGTTACAACAAAATTATATCGAAAATGAGTTAAAAATTACAAGACTCTCAAAACTTATTCAAAACCTTCACTATCTTGTGTATAGAACCAATGAACCTGCCATCAAGAGTTAGTCAGTTAGGCAGTAAATACGCGTGTAGGTATAGTCTAATTATCGACTATTAGCTTTAAGGTTTTATCATGTAATATGTCTACTCAGTATTTCCCATTAAAATTAAACTCTATGTGTTTAATAATAAGGTTATTTGCTATTTGTAGAGGCAGTTTATGTCCTATCAAGTACACTGTAGTAAACCGATCGGCTGTATAGACCTGTTCATACAAGCTGGATTGCACGCAATTCGCAGCATTTCCGAGTTTATTAAAATGCGATTATGTGGCGCCAGTTGGTAGCCCTTAAGAGGTTATTAAAAGGTCTAATGACATGTTGCTTTACTTGATAACTTGTATCTATTATAGCTTATTGTCTAGATACATTACAACACTGACAATACTTTTGTATCACATATTTATTATATTATTATCTTTTTCATTTTAGTTACATAGTTACAACTCTATATCCATTAAAGTTAACGATATGCTTTTTCACTGTATTGGGTTGACTGGAAGAGATCTCTGTTAGAGATAAGTCTACCCTTGCTCACAACATTTATAAATTAAATGCATCATATTATATGTAACTTACAAGTGTAACGAAAAAAATCATGTGGCTTGCTTAAGTAGATTATTTATAGAGTAAAATCGAACTCTTTTCGAACAATCAGAACACCAAAGGGAGACTTTGTACAAAAGTCGATTGCTTGAGTACCTCTGTCCCATTCGTGTTTCAACCGTGAAGCAGTTATGTTTGCATGGCTGTGTTTCGGTTTGAAGGGTGGGATATGGCGTGAATTTATTGGATAGAAAGTGTTCTAGCAGTGAAGTGAAATTTAACATTTTTCCCAAAAGAATATGTGTCCAAAAATTATACAAACAATTAGATTTTCTTTGATACTAACACGTTGTATTAGTATGCACTAATACTAGTCTACTAGAACATAATGCAACGTACTTTGCATGATACTAATTTATTTATTAAAAATTCGTGCAAACTGAACTAACGACGAAATTACTTCGTGAATCTAATTCGCATGCATTACGAAATTAAAGATTAACACGTTGATGAAATTAGTGCCATGAAATTAGTTTCTCCGTATTATAGTGTAGATTATGATTTATGATAATAGTTTTAAAACGTATTAAGTTGTGAATTTAATAATATGCACGATCCTATATAAGCAAACGGTGCTGACTGCAGCACTGTAAAGTAATAAACCGTTTTAATATAAGGCTGGCAATATTTAATGAATCAGTTAGTACAACCGCCACCCAGCAACCATATTATCGTATTCATGATATCTTAAAATATTATAAAGATTTTCAATGAGAGTACGATTCTAAACTAAGTGTTTTATGGCTTCACTTGC